TGAAGTCGCTGCCATGCGCGTAGCCATAGAGGTGCACTGAAAAAGATTCACTCTACAGGTAGGGGCATATGGAAATTGTTTTGTGTTGGTACTCAACAACTATCCGGTAGGGGCATACTGCAAATTTGGAACGGTAACGATAGGGGCGTAACAAATCAGGCCCAACCGACACCGGGGGTTGACGGAAAATTTGAATCGTGGTCAGACGGGTGCAACAGGGTAAATCAGTCGTGGGAGCGGCGCAACGCAAAATAATGGACATTACAGGGGCGCCAAACAAATTTTCCAAACTTGTTTTTATTATTTATTTATTGAACTTACCGGCCCCGGATAATTTAGAATGATTTGGTCTTGGATCATCAGGGTAGCCACACAGCACGAACGAGAGTTGTGGGTAGCATTGGCGGAATGGCTACTGATGGAAGAATGGGACATGTGTAGGCCTGAAGACGTGTGGGCATGCTGGTTCATCCCGTCGTTCAGAAAGAAGAAGTTGAAGTCAACTTTCTGGGAATCCATTCGCAAAGCCTGGGTGAAGGCCCCACCAAACTTCCAAGCCCTCCCGATTACCAAAGAAGAGGTCATGTATCAGCTTCTGTTCGAGAATCCAAGACTGGTAAACCACTCAGGTCACCCTTTCGCAGCGGATGGATCTGCTGGTACGTTTGGTCGAGCTTGGATCAAACACGGAGTGGTCAGGATTGCAGACCTGTGGTCGAAGGAGCTGGGGGGATGGAGACCATTGGAGAAAGTGAAACAAGTACTAAAGGGACTGCAGAGGATTGAAGAACACTGGAATCAGTTAATTGGAACCATCCCGCAGGACTGGCTGGATTTGCTGGGCCCAGGAGGCCTAGACCCGACTGGAACGTGGTATGTCTCAACTCTGGAGCAAGAAGACAAGGTAATCTGGAAAGTGCTGGAAATCACGTAATACTTCGTATAGCATACATTATACGAAGTTATACGATACAACTCAGAGCTGGAGGAAGGGACAAACGTGATCTGGAAAGTGCTGGAAATCACACCCAGTGGATTCCGCAGGGTGGAGAGATGGAGGTGCGAAGGCCCAAACAACATCTTGTCTCTGATAGAAGA